CTTCTGCACATCTTGGCATCAAAATATCGGAGGTCATGAAAACAGCCGCTTTTATCCACCTGCTGTACGCCGGCCGTGATTCCAGAGTTAAATCATCGCACAAACATCTGCGGGTCTCCTCATACTGCGTTTCTGTCCCATCAGTGACAAAGGAAAAACATCAAAAAACTCTGCACTTATGCTTATATGCCAAATAATATGAATGAGATGCCGGTTATGAGAGTGACTATATCTTCTTTTAAACGAAATACATTCGTGGCGATGCTTCATTTACACACAGTGCCATTTGATGTGTTCGGGTTGTTTCCTGCTCCGAACGTGCTGGAGCACCACCAGCAGCGTCTCTTGATTCTGTTGATCCTCGAATGCCGAACCTGCAAGGGACAGAAAACTGAACAAACTGCATACCTCAAAAACACACAAAAAAAAAATCAACACACTGAAAAAAAAGGCAAACTAACAATGCGTCATCATGTATACTGGCGCGGGCACATGCAAGATGGGCATAATACACTGGCGCCGGGATTGAAACAGATCGATTGCATCGAGCATAGACATGGCAAAGGGCAAAAGTCAGGTGCTGAAATATGGAAAATACCGTGATGGTGAATTGCTTGCCATTCATTTTTTTCAAAAAATAAAAAAAGCGAAAAACCTACCTGCCATTCATCTGGTGTTAGATTCCAGGAATCATAGAGGACGTAGTAATGACTTGGGCGTGATGTCCCCTAAAATGAAACAAATTACCGTTTTCAAATAAATTAGGCGCAATAACCCTCAATGAAATGCAAAAACAATATTTAATATCTTACAATTGCGCCCAGATGTGAGCAAAGGAAGAAATCGAAGAGGTGCGAACTGGTCACACGCATATCAACCGTCGTCCCTGGTGGAATGTTACCCTTGCACCTGAAATTTCCAACAAAAAAACGGGCTGTATTATGGAAATGGTGGACTTAAAAATGAAAATAAAAAGTACACAAACTGTATCGAGGCGAGAATTTATTACTTTGAGCAAATATTACCACATTCTTGCTCTCTTGCCATCCATACAATTTGCAAGTCCGCGGTAATTAGAAGGAATCTCAAAAGCACACAATAGGGCGAGTTTTATGGGATACGAACACATTTTAAAAAAAAAATAAAGCACTTACTCTCTTAAGTTTCCAAAACGAGACGCAACTGATGGTTCAGCAAAGAATCGCGTATGATGACGCTTCTGTACAACAATATACGATACTGTGGGAGAATACTCCGAATCGAGCTTTCTACACGCAGCTTTCACTGATGCCAGTTCCTCTTTGAGTGTGTTCAGAAATTCGGTTTCCGAAATCCCGTCACTATACAAAAAACAAAGCTATTTTAGGAAGCAAAGGCGGCTATCCGGGCATCTCAGATTATATTTTACTCTTAAAATTCCCATCTACACCAATACACTGCTGAAGACTGCGTTCAACGTTAAATGGGGAAGCCCTCTTCACACTTTTGCGCATCTTCCTCCTTTATCCTCCCCTTCCACCCCTCCTCAACTCCTTCTTTTGTCAAACTCGTCAGGCTAATCTCTAACAGCCATAAAAATTCCCAGTTGAAAAACCGAAGTAAGTTTCAACCCCTGCAGCATTGGAAACCGATAGACCGATCTAAACCTGTGCATGAAACGCATGAGGGAAAAAAAGACAAAAAAAGAAAGCGGAAAAAACAACCACAAAAAAAAAGGAATCAAAGCATTACCGATAAATGACGATATGTTTTGGCGATGTACCAACTGCTTTGTAAAATGCCAACAAACGTTCTTTCAAAGCATCCACTAAGTAAACGATACGCTCCGCTTGTGGATGTTGAACTTTTATTGATGTTTCATAGCTAAAAGAGGGGCAATATCAGCTCACTGAAAAGCGAGGGATCGCAAAAAAACAAACATCCTTTTAGGGACTAACCGTGTGGCATCTAAATTAACGGAGCCAACAACTGTAGCAATCGAATTGGCACGTTTGCCTGGTCGTGGATGTGTTACGTCAACACCAACGAATAGTGTCGGATCGTCCGGATTCGAAAATTTCGGCCAACTAAAAAACCTTAGTATTCTGCATGCATTCTTGCAAGGTTAAAATCCCGTTCGCATCCACTTTCTACGAGATATAGTTGCACTTGGAAGTGTCACACGTGTAAGAGATACCATACGCCAACATCAACCATCGCGCTGGCAAGGTTTCTCTCTTTAAAGCAGTGACTAAGAAGCTAGCTGACGGCAGAATGAATCTGTCTTTTATGATCTTTTTTTTAAACATCTTTTTCTCTGATATCTACTCCTCCTCCACTCCATTCTCACCCTCCTAATCCTATAATCTCAGCCCTTCCTTTTCTTTCCTTGCGTCGTTCTCTATCTCTTTCTCTTCCTTTTCCATTAAACACTGGTGACTGCCATATTGGCGAAGTTCTGCCGCAGTGTTAAGAAGTATATGACTTAATGGATCGAAACGTCTTATCTCATTCTTGCCTCCTTTCCTTACTCTTTCTTGCCTTTTGTATTCAATACGCCTTTGCCATTTTGGTATTCAAGGTCAACCTGGATGCTACAATCGGCTATAAGAGAACTTAAAGAATACGTGAATGCTTTTTACTGTGGACCAGTGCTTTTTGAAGCTCTGTTGGCAATGGTCCAAGTATCTGTTGGTTCGAAAAAAAAGTCTCACATATTGTAACTCTGGTGTACTTTGTTGTTAACACCGCCCAGCTTCGTGTTCATTTTCATAATAATATTATGGGCCGTGGAATTTGTCTCCGGACGACCGGCTCGCATATTCAGTAATGTTTTGGTCAAAACCACCTGACAGGCTACTCCCTCTTCAACATCGCAAGCTGTTTTGATCGTTCCTGTAAATATTATTAAGTTACTTATCAAAAAAAAAAAAATCAATTTGCACGAAATACCGCTTGTTATCCGTACGCTCATGACAAAACTGAACAAGCACATGAAACCGATTTCATGGTTCCCAGTACG